GCAATAGTGTACTTTGGGGAGTGGTCATTCTCTGCTGTTCTGCACTTCTGAGTCCAAATCTGGAGTATCATGGCAGTTTCAGGCTGCCTAGTATAAAAGAGATTGTAACATTCTGGTTAGAATCCAATGGACAGCCACTAATATGGCCAGCCAGGGAGCTGCAACACCTAATACATAAGGAGAAGCTAAAAGAACTGGGAATGGTTTGCCTGGAGAAAAGAGGGCTAGTGGGGAAACTAATTGCAGTCGTCTGTTACCTGAATGTGTTATGGAAAAGAGGGAGCTTTCCAGAGGTGCACAACTAAAGGGCAAGAATCCACAATTCCAAGTTTGTAATGTGAGAAGTTCCAACTGGATATAAAGTATTTTTTACTGGGAGGGTGGTCAAACATTGAAACAGAGATTTGGAGGTCATTTAATCACTGCCCTTGGAGATTTTCAAAACACAGCTGTCCAAGGCCCTGAGCAACCTCATCTGACTTCAAAATTAGCCCTGCTTTGAGCAGACAATCAAACTATACAATCTAGAAGTCCTAACCTGAATTTTTCTATAATTCTATGACATATAAATATCTGGAACTACATTACTTTAAAAAATATAATAAAAATCTCTTTCATGTGTACAGATGCATGCCAAGATTGTTACAGAGAAGAGTAAATAATAACAAAATAAGTCATACTGATTCAGAGGAAGGGTTCTTCTACCTTGGTGCATTGTCTCCGGTAGCAGCTACAAGTTGATGTCTAAGGAAGAGCAAGAACAATACAAGAATCAATGATAATTTCTTCTGACAGCCTCCCTTTTAAGCTCAGGCCAGTTTCCTGTTCTTATGATTTGTTTATTCAGTGACCTCCCCAAAGGGTCCTGTTGGTACTTTTCTGTCTTTGCTTTGAACCCATGTAAATTTATTGCATCTGCAAAATCATTTGGCAAAGGGAGTGAAGGACTATGTCCTTAATGTTTGTTTTGGACTAATCTCAATTGGTGGCCTCTTGTTCTTGTTTTGAAAGAAAAAAAATGATCAGTCAGCCTCTACTTGAGCTTTTCCATGCATTTATTTTTTTGTAGACCTTTGTCATATTCTCCTTAGGTCATCCGCTTTACACATGCATATCTTCACACAAACCTGTTACTTTTCACAAGAACATAATGCCACTGAAGTGTACCTGTTCTACAAATGAATTTGTCCTGTATTAAGTTAACAGGCTGTATACATCTATGGGTTTGGTTTTTTTTGGCAGGTGGACTAATTGATGGAATAAAGAAACTTGTGAATACTGAAGTATTTGTACTCAAAACCACAAGTATGGATTAATATGAAGCAAAAAAAAAGTAGTTAATTTCCTTGCTCCTATTTCACACAATAACCAAGTATATAGTCCTGAGAGTGTGAATGTTTTAATGAGCTGGTCTAATGCTTGTACATTTTTAGGACTTGAAAATCTTAATAATGTAATTTAGATAAGCAATTTCTTATACATTTGCATTAAAGTTTTGATATGTTCTGTATCCTGACTGTCATGAAGTATTGAGGTGCTCCTTTCAAGTCATGCATACTGTAGTCAAACTGATCTAACATACTGATCCCAGGACTGGCAAACCTGCATGAACTGTCAGTCAGGAGGTTGCAGAAGTTCCCCTCTCTGGCCTGTTGCTGATTTTCTGCAAGGTCAGTCACTGGATACCAAGGTTGAATATTTTCTGATGGACAGGCTGATTATTGCATCCATAAACATGACAGGGATACGTGTGGGCTCTCCTTACATTAAATCTTCCAGTAACATAATGTCCGTGATGGAATGTATGTCAATAGTAGAGTTAAAAAAAGCCAACGGTAGTATAACTTTTATCAAGGCAGTTAGCTGAACATCCGTGAGAAATAAAAACTACCAGAGGATACAGTAGAAATGAATGTGGATTTTCATGAGCCTGATCTTGCAATGCTTTTACGTGAGTGATCACAAGCAGCAGTCTTTAAGCCCATTTAAGCTAATGACCTCTCTGTAGTTAAAATGATCCTGTTGTCTGCAGCATGCTGCAGGTTAACAAAAAGGAAAAAGTTGTGATCTGTGGCTGCTATATTTTAAATGCTTTGTTCTAAATAAGAAAAAAAAGTAATATGCAAGCACATGTTTAAATGCTTTTGTAGTAAGTGTGGTATTTTTTTAAGCATAGAAGTTCGACTGAATTCATTAAGTTTGAATTCTTCAATATCCTGACCTGAACAGAAATAATTCTCTTCATTAAGGCTTGAAGCAAAATACATAAATAAATATATGTTCACAGGTAATTTTTTTTTGAGAAAGAACACCTGGAGAGCCTTTGGCACTTGAACTTGGCAATAAAATGTGTGACACGTGATGGCTGGCTTTCCTTCTTGCAGCCACTGATATCTCTCAAGAAGCTGGTATCTGTAGATTTCAGCAGCAAACAAGACCGGGTGTCTGCATCTCTCGTAGTCTGCAAATTAAGTCAGGTACTAACCACACTAAATTATTTAAAGGAGATTAAAGTGATTGTATGGAAGTTTGATTGCCATGATCTTGGACTTACTAGTGGTGCAAAGGTAAACTGCAGAAAACAATTTCAGCTAGTGCATTCATAAACAGAACAAGCTGTCCCAGTGAACATTCACTTACAGTCTTTCATGTATGAGAAGGACACTTCTCTCTAACCAAACATTGAATGAGCAGCTCTAGGGTTATTTAGATCTCCCCTGTCTGTGAGCGAGATAGGACAGAGAATAGTATCACATCCTCTTCGGGGAGAAACAGGTCAAAAGGAATAAAGAGAGAGATCACCTGCCTTTAGCCCTAAATTCTGCAACCTGTAATGCCTCTCAGTCTTTAAATGGTTTCAAGGAGTTTTCACTTTTTTTGTGTGCGTTTTCTATGAGCTCATTTTTATTAACTTTGGAGTTTAACTCTGCACATTAGGGAAAGCTCTTAATAAAAAGGTAAGAAAGGCTGCCACTTGATGGATAACAGGTAGGTGTTTCACTAGGGTTTTTTTCACAATTCGATAGTATAGTTATCTGACCTAGCACAGAGGAGCTTTTCCTACTAGCAGGGCAATTCTAGTATAGTACATCTCCACAGTACACTACAGGAGACTTCATTGCAGAGACAGAATATGTCAGTGAAAAGTTACACCTCTAAAATAGCAACAGTATGATTAAAGCATATTAAAGCTACAAAAGAGAGTGTGGTTGCACAAATGATCATGAATTAGAGATGTAAACATGAGCTATTCTGCAGTTATTAGCTACAAAAAAATTCTTCTCCTCAGCAAAAAAACCCCAAAGAGGTAGCTTCTCTCAAGTGATTTTTACCATCATTAATCTATCACAATTTTGGCTTGTAAAAAAAGATCAATATTTCTTTCACAGTAACCTACCTCACGTTTAGCATGTGGGAAGAGTTCATATATAGACACTACAACAAAGTTGCAGGGGTGCTTTTAAGTTCATGCTGTGGTCTGTCTGCTGTACAGGAAGATGATTGTTTTCTGATACCCTTAGCCTATCGTGTAGATAAGCCAGAATGCAGTATCCAGGCCCTCATACTCCACAAATATCCCAGGAGAGAACTGTGTACAGAAGGCCACTCCAAACACAGCAGAATTAAACAGAGGAGCCACTTGGCTGCTTCTATAAAAAGCAGTGGCTGACCAAAGGCTGCAGACTCTTGTTTCCATTCTGCCACTGGAATGCAGAGACAGAAGCAGCAGTCAGAGCTGCTCTTTCACTTCTCTAGGCTGTGTTGAACCATGGGTGCTTGTATGTCATGAACCCATTAACCCTGGGCTCTCTTCATACACACGTGTGAGTTCTGTTTTGTGCTGGGAAGTGCTTCAAAGCTGTTTCGTTCATCTCCCTGTTGTCCCCTGTCAGTAAAAAGAAATACAGCATTTTCCCTGCAGTTAGCAAAAAGGCATGATCCAAATTCAGCAAATCACTGAATTCAGTAAAAATGCTTAAGTTGTCTTTATTGACAAAATGTGACACAGGCTTTTTTTGTTTGTTTGTTTGTTTGTTGGGGGTTTTTTGGCTTTCTTTTTTTCCCCTAGGCAGCCAAATTCTCTCTAAAATATATAGACAGAAAACCATCCATTAGGATGCATCTGTTATAACAGACACATGGATTTCTATAGTAAATACTTATTTTTTATTTTGGCACAGAAAGGCAATCCTAAAGTAATGCAGTTTAAAGAAGACAGTCTCATCAACATGCTTTCAATTGCTTAGTTGCTTAGCAGAGTGACCTTCTGTGTCAAAGCTCTATTTCAGTTTGGTCAAAATGTGAAAGAATAAACAAGCTCTTGGTAACCCCTACACCACTCTTCTCACAGTTGTATTTGGTTCTTCTCCTTCCTACTCCCTCTGCAGACTATACTTCTCACCAAAAACTGTAGTTAATGTTTTTTACAGTAGAAACAAGGAAAAACTGAATAAATTAGAGACACCATTTTTGTTCTGCCTATTCCTTTGTTTACTCTTTATCTCTGGCACCTGATGGTGCAGACCCAGGAAAATTTCTTGTCTTCCACAACTTTGTTTTGTCAGAAAAAAAAACCCCAAACCAAACATGTAGAAAAGCACATTCCCTGTTTTCTGGTGGATATTGAATTGCAGCATAATGAGTGTTGTTGTCTTGAGATGTAGAAATCTACTCTGGCAGTTAAACATGTGACACAAAACCATTAGGCCTCATAATTAATGTTCTAGAACGTGGACTGGTGTTTGAAACAACCAACGTATCTTCAAAAACATAAATTTTACATTTAAAGGTAGCTGCAAAACTTGGATTTAAAAAGCAGCTGACAGAAAAGGGTTAACAGTTATTGCTGAACTTGAAGAGGAAAGTGTGGGTAGTGCAGGCAGGTGGCCTTGTAAGAACAATATCTTGGACAGATGCTGGTAAAAAATGCAGTCCTGGATCTTGGATGGAGATGGGTCATCCTTTTTTGAGAATAATTACAATTAAGGCACCTTAGGAAGGAACGTAGGGAGCAAACCAGGAGCTCAGACAAGATGCTGAGGAATTAGAATGACTAAGAAAATACTTTGTGCTCCAGGTGGCTGGGCAGTTTTGTTGCCAGTTGGCATCTTGGACATAGTAGGAGCAAGCTGGAAACCTGAGCTATTGAGCATGTAAATTTTGGGTAAGGCCTAGAGGGAAAATAAGAGCTAGATGAGTGCTTGGGTCTGATGCTATGCCAAAAAACAAAGGACTATGCAAGCACTGAGAAAATCACCTTCCTAGAGCTATAAATGGAACATGTGAAGATGTTTGATAGAGAAAGGGAAAGGAGAAGAAGACTAAAAATCAAGTCCATGAAGTCACAAAAATGAACAAAGGATATTTCTCAGATAGTTGGGAACAAATCTGTATAAATGTGATTTGACAGTGCTATCAAATTGAACGCTGACTTCACTTGTTTTAGATTCTCATGCTATTCAGCCTTATTCTTCCAGTCTGAAGACCTTCTTCTTTTGTATGAAAAAGTTAACAAAACAATGCATAATTTAATCATCATAATTAGAGACTATTCACTTTTTCCCCCATGTGTTGTGTTGTCTTTTATCCAGAGTGTCAAGTTTTCAGACAGAGAGTGCTTTGCAAGGGCAGCTTTTTGCTCCCACTTCATGCTGATGTAAGTAAATATATACAGTGCCTAGCAATGCAAAATCAGGCACTACAAATGTGGAAAATTACTTTGTATAGAGAACTGGAGTATGTTCCATGTCTTCTGAGTTCAGAAACAAGTGCCATTAATTCAAATCCTTGGAGGAAACCTTTACCTGTGGTAAGCAGTGGAAAAGTCTTCGTTAGGGCTGCTTGCAGCGGGAAAAGCAAGCACCCAAACCACAATTTTCTAACCACTTTCAAGAATGGGTAACTGAGCCTTTGGAAAACAATTCTAAGGAGGAGTCAACCATAGCCTATGGCTAGTCTCAATCCTACTAAAATAAAGGCATAATAAGACCAGACCCCAGTTGTTCCATGGTGGAGTCAGTGAATATGCCTACATTTTGGTTTGCTGTTTTCCTCACAAAATCAGCATATTTCAGTACTTCTACAAAACATTTTTAGAGGGAAAAGCTAAGCAGCAGTGTCCTTCCCTCCATCCTATAAATCAAAGGAGCCTGAGGCATATATGAAGATGATTTTTCAAGATCTCTTTCCCCAATTTTCCTCCATTATACCTTGGATCATATTATTTTATGTTTTGTACGTGCTTGTAGTAAGCACAGTAGCACTGCCTGTAAACATGAACAATTTTAGGTTTGTTTTTACAGTCTATCCCCTTCCTTCCTCAAGGTCTGATGACTAACAAGCTGAGTTATAATGCTATTGCTACACATTCACAACTTAGGGATAAAAAGATGCTGATGAGATACTTAAAATGTCAAAACATAGATATATAGAAAGCAGGAAACTGCACCCTACAGAAGATCATTGTTTGTTGTTACAATACTGTATAGTGTATGCTTTCAATGATTTATGAACAATCATTTAATCTGCCTTCCCAGCCCTCTGGACTTGAATTAGTCTCTTGATAGCTCTGATTAACTTGCCTGCCTTCAGTCGTATAATGCTTTTTTTTTGCTTGTAGATAAGCAGCTTTTGGTTCGTTGTATTTGGACTGTTTCCCACAAGTGGTATAAATGTGTCCTTAATGCTTCTTACAAGTTTGTTAATAAGATTACAAGGATGACTGTAATATTTGTTGATTACTATCCCATACACTGCTAATCCATTATGGTGGTGAGGAAAGGGAAGTACACAGCATGGATTGGAACATAAATCTCAAACAGTAGCACTTGTTAACTTTCAGCAGCTTATGTATTTTATTGTGCTCATTGCTAATTAAAATTCTTACATAGAAAGCTTGTTTCACCCTAAGCTTGACCTGCCTCATATGATGCATGGAGGTGGCAATTTCCTTGAATTAGGGTAGTTTGGGCATGTGACAAGTATTCTCTGATCACCTTCCCTATTGTGAGTCTCTAATAACTAGCTAGCACGCAAGAAGAGCATTAATGTCCTTACTGTATTAACTCTCTTGTGTGACAACATAATAGGTTCCACTTGAACAGAAATAAGATTGGAGCGATTTCTCACCATAAAGATTCCTTCACGTACGGAAAGTAATCCTTACTCTTCTGCATTTGCTTTCCTTTTCTCCTTTAACTTTATTCCTTTCTACTCCCTTTCCTTTTTTTTCTGTGAAACTTCCCTAAGAGAAAGATTTTTAACAAGATGTACTTAACTGATTTTGACTGGTATAAAGGAGTAATTAGGTTACTTTTGTGGGAGCTGCAACGATTCAATTTCGTTCAAGAAAATAATAGCTTGAAATTTGGATCAAATGGTAGCACCTGCCCAAAGGTGTAAAATAACAATATGTATGTCAGTATTAAAACTCAGAAAATTATCTCCAAATCACAAAAATATAATAGGGAAAACAGCAAAGAGTAGTTCCTCTTCAAGCCCATGAATATCCCAGTATTCAGAGGGAGACATCTCATTGATCTGGAGACACCTGCAGAAACCTAGCCACTTCTAGGCCTTCTTCATGGCACACAGATGTCTCAGGAGCTCTACTCCCCACCCCTTAGGTTCTCTACTCAAAATTAACCCAAAGCACTTCCAATTGAAGTTTAAAAGGACCACAACTAACTCAGCAATGCTAGTAGCAATAGTGTCCTACTGGAAAACTCTGGTAGGAGCTCACACACTCAGGGCAAGAGGGAATTTCAGGTCACATATGAGCCTAAAAAAGACCTTAACAACAACTGATCTGAGCAATCAATTAGGAGATGAGAGTGAAGGTGCATGATTGGTAAGAAATTAATCTCTTCCACCACTATATGAAAAGAAGTAGAGGTGACCAGGAGGTTTTTTGCAGGCTTTAGGATAAAAACAAGTATTTCACTAAAACCACATCCTGGAAAATGAGACAATATGCTACTATACACTACTATACCACAACAGTCAAGATTACCCTGTTGTAGCATATTTGGCAACTCATAAGCACATATGTTTCTCAACCTGGAGGAGTTTTCACATGCAGATTTGAAACAGCATGAATTATCTGGGCCAACACTCATAGGCAGTTCTGCACAGTTGTGTGTCACTGATGTCACTGAGAGCTTTTCTGGCATCTTCAGTGAACTCGAGGTTCACTGTTCCTTTGCTTCCCATGACTCTTGAACATGCATGGTCTCATCTTTTGTGGAGCACTACTGCTAGTCTGTGCCCGGCACAGAGTCAGCCTTAAACTGCTCCTTCTGCTGACTATAAGAACATAAGAATAACTTGTGTGAATCATCAGCAAAGCTTCAACAAAAATTTCAGATTGAAGGTAATTAAATGACTGAGCCACTACTCTAAATAAATGGGCAATGATTCTCTTGCTAGATTAGAAATCAGGAATTGCTCATCAATATTTGCTTCATATCAAGCAGGAAACTTTTATTTATGCCAAAAAGATGCAAGAGTGATTTTTTTTTTTGGTAATTGAACCTGGCATCGAGTTTCCATTTTGAAGCCTGGCCAGGCTCCTTCAAAAAATGCACAATGAAATTTCAGTCAGCATTTTAGAGGTAGAGGAAAACTGGCTTTGTTCTTGAGAATATGAAGTGGTCTTCACTCTACGAGCAGATTCACTACCCAAAATGCTAAAACAAAGGTGGAATAGCAAATTGAATGTAAACCATCCTACCTCCCGCCTTAAAGACAAAATAGAGAATAGTTCCCCTACAGACTTGATCAGCAGAAGTTTGGTGACAAATTAAAACAGTTAGTTGTTTGTATTGCACTCGATCCAATATTATTTTATTTAGCAAGGGCTCTAAGAAAATTTTACATTAACTTCATGTTACTGTGGGCAGTTTGAAGAATCCAGAGGTATAGGATTTTCTGTGCCTAAAGAAATTTTTCGGAAGAAAGCAAACATGTAACCAAAGAAGACAGAAACTCGTGGCATTTTTATTATTCTTTGTTTAGTATTATTTGTGCTGTGGGGTTTTTTGGGGGGTTTGTGGGGTATTTTGTTTGTTTGTTTGCGTTATTTTATATTTTTTTAATTTTGTTTTTAGTTTAGAAGCTTCAATAAAATCTATAAAATAGAAATAGATGCTGAATCAATTTTTTTATTATTATTTTTTTATTTTATTTTTTTTATTTTCCTCCCCACTGAATAGCATGTGCTGAAACTTTTCTGACCCTGGAATGCATATGAGCTAGTTAATGATCCTATCCAGTGCTCCAAATAAATTACGGGCCAGTCTATTGTATGTATTTAGCAACCACTGGGTGTCACTGCGTTTCTATAAATCCAACTAAAGCAGGCTTAATACCGTATTAAGAAACTAAATGTATATCACTTGCATATAACACATGTAATTATTGTGTCTCTTTATGGAACTGTTGGGTTGTTTATTCTCCCATATATACAAAACTCTTACAAAAATGAAGTAATGAAGAGCCGATGATCAGAAAACCAGCAGCCAACTCGGAAGTTGCCCTAGGAAAAAGATAGTCCTTCATTTGCTATTTATGCAGTCTGTAATTGTGATTGCTGGCATCAGCACAGGTGTAGTTAATTTTATATCTCTTTGTTTGCAATGCATTGGCTAAAAAAAAAGTCTACCACAATTTTTTGTCCAACCTCTGCGAGTATTGCATTATTAAAGCCTCATACTTCATTGCAGTTAGAGGCCGTTCTCCTTTGAACGATTAATAGTAGCTATAAATATCAACTTCAGCATGGAATTCAGCCTGTAAACAAAGTGTGCTCCAGAAGAAAACTCTTTCTTCAGTGAATTT